ATCTTTGTGCCGTGACATTGACTTGCATGGATACATTAATCAGCTTCCTTGCCATCTGCCTTCCGGTTGTATCCAGCCAATTGGGAGCCCCTGCAGAAGATCAGAGGGTGGAAAGAGTGAGGCAGGATATTTATTCCTCCAGAAACTTCCCTGTGAACTTGTCTAGGGATGGTTGAGTCCCTTACTAAGGACCATACTTTTTTGCCAGGTGATTCTCTTCCCTCGGGTCTCTGACTTGAGATGGCAGAAGCCTCACATTTTCATGACAATCATGCACAAAGACCCTGGATCTTTCTGGTCCTGGAAACTTGTCCATCCTTTGTGATTTCCTTCTGCCCTAGTCACATCCTGGTGAATACTTCCTTTATTAAACTTTTCTCAATTGATCCAATTCGAGTGTGATTCCATTTTTTGATGGGCCTTTGGCTTATGCAAAGAGCATATATCATGACGGAGTGATCTCCTATATTGGGTCAAGAAGTCTTAGTTTTTAGAGCGCATAACTTTTCCATGTAGAACATTTTCATTTGTCTTTTGCAATCTGTATATGACATTCTGCATCGCCATTCTGGTTCCCTGTTTCTTGTGGGGGATCTTGGGGTTCCCCTATAATTTCAGAATATTTGTTGGTTATAGAGATTTTTAGAAGAGCAGAACTTCTGATATAAGATGCCGTAGCTATCACTAAATTGGACTGGGTTATCCAGGCATACCCCTGTGCCTGTTTGTCCTTAAAACTTGAAAATTTCACACCTGCTTCGAGGTGGCAGTGCCTTGTTACCATCCACTGACCAAGCGGGAAGGGTGTCCTCAGATGAAAGTGACAAAACTCAACTTCTGGATTGTTTTCCTTTAAGCCACCCAGAATTCAGAAATTATCTCTGGGAACATCTGCCTCTTCCTCCACACTGATGTCCCTGATGGCAGGGCCTGTGTCCTCGTTAAGTTTGTGTTGCCAGCAGCCAGTCCAGAGGCTGCCCATAGCAGGAGTGAAAAGATTATTTGTATAATGAAGGAAACTGTCCTCAGAGAGCTATAAAACCACGGCCCCAATTGAACATCTTCTCTTCTACTCCCTCTGTCCAGTTTTGCTCCATAAATTAATGACTAGGGGGCTCTGAAACCTCAGTGAAGGCTATTCATCTTAGTCCACAGGCCCCCGTGTGAAAGAAATGAAGCTTCCCTTTATTTCCTTTAAATCAAAATAAATTGGATTCTGAATTCCCACATGACTGGGCTGGAGGAAATTTGATCCAAGCCAGGCTGGGGAGCGGAATGGAGTGTCTCACAAGAATCTGAACAATGAGGGAAGAGACCCATCTTCACTCATCATGACCCCCCCAGCAGCCTGTGGCCAAGCCAGCTGCTCCCTGAAGGCAGATAGCTTTGCTATTTCTCTCCTGAGCTTGGCCCTGAGATCCCAGCCAACACTGAGAGCCGGGGGCACCAGGCCTGGCCTCTCGGAGCCCACAAAGCTGGTGTCTCCCCCTGAGACCTCGCTGTCCTCACATTGTAGCACCTGCCGACACAGTCCCCCCGCAGAAGGGCAACCCATGTTCTTCTCTTTGCGCTTGGTCCCCTTCCCACAGGATCCAGTCCTTCCCCTTCATGCCCCTCCTCCCTATCTTCAAAGTATAGGACAAAAATGTACAAATACAATCAAAAAATGAAATTTAATTTTTTAAGAAAAGGAGCTTGAGCTTCTGTAGAACAAAATCCAGGAAGACACTTCCTAGGACCAAGCGGGAGCTCATTTCTCAGGATATTCCCCTCACCACCACCACTACCTCCCTGGACAGGCTTGCTGATTGGCTGGGATGTTTTGGACCAGTTTGTGGCTGTGCTTTTTGTCAAGTGTCTTGGGTCTGACTTGTGTCTAGACATTGGTGTTGGCGTGCAAACCGCTTTTCTGCAAACTCAGATGCCTCATGGCTTAGAAATAAATGACAGCCGAGCAGTTACTAATCAACGTTCATTCCTTCCTTTTCCCTTTGTTATAGTTTGGATGTGAGGTGTTCCCCCCACCCCCACCCTGCAAACTCCAGTGTTAATGCAGGAATGTTCAGAAGTGAAATGATAGGATAGGGAGAGCTGTAATCTAATTAGTTCCTCCCAGTTTGAAAGGACTGAGGGGTGGTAACTGCAGGCAGATGGGGCATGGCTGGAGGATGGGTGCATCTTTCCCTGCAGCCCCTGTCCCTCTCTCCGTGATTCTTTGCTTGCCGACCCCACCGTGAGCCGAACAGCTTTCTCCTGCTCTTTGGCCATGATGTTCCACCTCATCTTGGGCCCACAGCCATGGACTTGGCCCACCAAGGACTGACATCTCCGAAACCCATGAGCCCTGGATAAACTTTTCCTCTTGAATTGTTCCTGTTGGGTATTTTGATCACAGGGACACAAAAACTGACTAGCACACCCTTCTTGTTCATGATTTCCTTTTTATCTTCCTCCTGCACTGCAAGTTCCTTGTTTTGTTTTTTTTTTTTTTTTTTTTGTGTGTGTGTGTGTCTCATTTGTATCTGCCAACCTGGCAGGTAATAAGTACTTAATAAATGTTTGTGGATTCAGCCCACCTACCTTCTTGAATGTTGGTTCCACTGTGTTTAGCTCACTGTTTTGTCTTCCTATGCAGAGTGAGAAAAATCTACCCCCCCTCCTTTGGGCTCTGTGTTTACTTCCATGGTGGTAGTTTGGTAGTTTGGGGCTGTCAACGGGGCTGGGAGGTGTGAGTACCAGGCCCTCCCTTCCTTCTGCTGACGATTTCTCCAGGACTCTGAGCTCTGTCTCCTCTGGGAAGTTCACATGCACTTTTCAATCTCTGAACTGTTCAGGGGCACATCTTCTAACTCTAGAAATGAATATGATTCTAAAGTTCTGAATTCAGTGAAATGTAGCCAATGGATTTTTTTAGTAACTTTTTTCCAGATAATAAAATAGTATAATTTATTATGGAAAATACAGATGTATATGTCCATATGCATACTCCATGTTCTCTACCTATGCACCCCCTTTGTCATTCAGATGAATAATGGACACTGGCTTGAAATCTGCACCTTCTCTCAGGACTTGTTCCTTTTAGGACTAGATGACCCTATTCTTCCAGTTATTCTATCTTGCCAGAATCCATTCTTTTTCTCTCTCTAAACCATCAGCAAATTCTGTCTTTTCTGACTTCAGAAGCCACCCAGAGCACTTTCCACAGAGCCCTGCCACTATACTGTTCCAAATCACTGTCAGCTTTTGTCTGAATTACTACAGAGCTGTGCAGGTGGCCTCCTTTTATTGCCCTCCTTTTTATTGCCCTCTATTATCTGAAAGGAATATCTGTTTCTGGCATAAGGGAGGTACAAGGTCTCTGTTAGGCCTCTTGCCCCCCAACCCAAAATAAAATAAAGTAAAAATCCTAGAAAACCAGTCAAAATATATAAAACAATTGTATCATGTATACAAATGCTACATTTGTACACATTGTGTGTTAGTCAGCTTTTCATTACTGTAACAAAAACCTAAGATAAATCAACACATGAGGAAAAAAGGTTTATTTTGTCTGACAGTTTCCAAGGTTTCAGTCCATGGTCCCTGCCCCACTGCCTTTCAGCCTGTGATGAGGCAGTTGATGGTAGAAACATGTGACAGAGGAAACTCTTCCCCTCGTGGTATCTGGGAAGCAGGAGAGAGAGAGAGAGAGAGAGAGAGAGAGAGAGAGAGAGAGAGAGAGAGAGAAATGGGGACCAGGTCTCAGTATGTCCTTCAGGATCACTCCCCCAATGACCTAGCTTCCTTCCATGAAGTGGCACCCCCTAAACAGTTCACCACGCTCCAATAGCACTAAGGCTGGATGTAGATCAAGCCTTCAATACATGGCCTTTGCAGGAGCTTTCAAGATCCAGATTGTAATCATATGCATGGATCTGATTCTGAACTTCCTAGTCTGCTCCATTGGTCTCTATCTAATTCTTCATCAGTGAAATATTTTAATTATTGAGGCTTTATAATATATGCCTGTTTCTGGTATGATAGATCTCACACCATTAGACCTCTTTTGCATGATGTTCATGGTTGCATTGGGGGGTTCCTTTTCCCAGGTGAATTTCATAAAGACTGCATTAGGGGGCTGGGGATGTGGCTCAAGCGGTAGCGCGCTCGCCTGGCATGTGTGCGGCCCGGGTTCTATCCTCAGCACCACATACCAACAAAGATGTTGTGTCTGCTGAGAACTACAAAATAAATAAATAAATATTTAAAAAAAAAAAAAGACTGCATTAGAATTGTCTTACATTTACAGACTTATCTGAAGATTAATGGATTTCTTCAAATATCAAATTTTCCTATCCAAGAACAAAGAAAATACTCTACTGCCTTGATTACTATAGCTGTAAATGTCTTGAAATTGAGCAGACTGATTCTTCCCATCTTTGTTTCCTTTTTCAGGATTATTTTAGCTATTTTAATTCCTTTGTCATCCATATAAATTTTAGAGTAAATTTCTCTGTATCTTCATGAGTTCTATTAAGTTTTTTTTATTGTCTTCAGTGAAGTTTTTTCAACGTATATATATATTTTTTTGCATGTAACTCCAGGACATTTGTTGTTAGATATATTCCTAAATATTTATTTAGGAACTGACCACTCTGAAAAATTATGTTATCAGGTCTAACAGTTCTTCTTCTTCTTTTTTTTTTCCCCCAAAATTGACTGTGATTTTTCTTTAGACTTCTTTGACCCATTTAGAAGTTTGTTGTTTAGTTTCCAAGTGTTTGAGTACTATTATTATGTTTTTATTATTGAGTTCTAGTTTGATCCTATTATGGTCAGAAAACTTACTCTCTAGAATATTAATTCTTTCATTGTATTAAAGTTGGTTTCATAGTCCAAGATATGGTCTATCTCAGAATGTGTTCCATGGACACTTGAAGAGAATGTGTGTTCTGCTACTGTTAGGTGGAGGGTTCTATACATTCTTAGATTCTATTGGTTGATTGGATCATTCAGTTCACTCCCATCCTGTGTCACTGCTGATTTTGTCTAATCTTCTACCAATTGTTGAGAGGGAGTCTCTAGTCATAACTGTGAGATTTTGTACTTCTCTGATCAGTGCTGTAAGATTTGCCTCACGTATTTTGCAGCTGTTTTATTTGGTGCATCCCAATCAGGATTGCTATGTCTTGGTGGATTGACCTTTTATCCATATGCAATGTGCCTCTCTGTCTCCAGTAACTTTTCTTTGCTTTGAAAACTCCTCTTCTGGTTCTCATGTGACTTGCTCCCCAGAGGTCCGTTTGCTGGAGGCTTGGTCCTCAGCGTGGTAGTGCCGAGGTAGCAGAGCCTTTAACAGGTAGGGCCTACTTCGAGGTAATTAGGTCAGGAGGGACCCTGCCCTGGAAGGGATTTAATGCTAGACCTGTGTAGTGAGTGAGTTCTTGCCAAAGTGTGTCATTATAAAGTGAGGACACCCACATGCTTGTCTGCATTGGCCATTTCTGTTTTTATTCCTCTGCCATGTTGGGATTTGGCCAAGAAGGCCCTCACCAGCTGCCAAGTGGATGGGGCTGCCCAATCTTGGACTTTCAGCTTCAAACACTGTGAGTTAAATAAATCTGTTTTCTTATTAGTCCAGAAAATAAACTAATAAATCTACTTTTCAATAAATTTTGGGGGAGCGTACCAGGGGTTAAACCCAGGGGCACTGAACCACTGAGCCACATCCCCAGCCCTATTTTGTATTTTATTTAGAGACAGGGCCTTGCTGTTGCTGAGGCTGGCTTTGAACTTGTGCTCCTCCTGTCTCAGCCTCCCGAGCTGCTGGGATTACAGGCTTGAGCCACTGCACCTGCCTAAATCTACTTTATCAATATTAATATAGCCATTCCTGTTTTTCTTTGAGTAATGTTTGCATGGTGTATTTTCCTACCCTTTTACATTCAACTGACAGATATGATCATATTTAAAGTGAGTTCCTCATAACAGCATATAATTGGGTCAAATTTTTCAATGTACTCTCCCAATCTCTTTTAATTGGCGTGTTTAGGCAATAAGAATGTTAATTATAATTATTAATACATTAGGACTTGAGTCTACTATTTTAATTTTTAAAAATATATATTTTTAGTTGTAGATGGACACAAAACCTTTATTTTATTTGTTTATTTTTTATGTGATGCTAGGGATCAAACCCAGTGTCTCACACATACTAGGCAAGTGCTTTATCACTGAGCCATAACCCTGGCCTTGCTATTTTAATTTTATCTTATTTCTCTATTTTCTTTTTCCTGAATTTTTCCCCTGGAATTTCTATGGACTCTTTTAGACTCCCATTCTGACTTGTCTATGGTGTTTTTTTTTTTTGAGCTGTATCTTTCTGTATAACTTACATAGTAGTTGCCCTATGTATTACATTATGTAGACAGAATTTATAGTCTACAGGTGTTGACCTCTTACCATTCAAGTGAAGAACAGAAACATTACCTCTCTTTATGCCCCTTTATTATTCTCCATCTGTAATTGTTCTAAGTATTTCCTACATACATTTAGAACCACATTAGATAGTTATAAATTTGTATAATTTCAAACATTTTTATAACATTTCTTATAATGCTCTTTGTTAAAATTTAGAAAACATAAGAGGTAAAGTAAAATGTATTGCATTTAGCCATAAATTTACTCTATCATCCTTCATTCCTGATATTCCAAGACTCATTCTTGTATCATTTTATCTATGCCTAGAGAACTTCCATTTTCCATTCTTTTAGAGTAGGCTGCTGACAAAAGTTCTGCTTTTTCTTTACTTGAAAATGTCCTGATTTCTTCTTCATTCCTGAAAGATATTTTCACTTGAATTAGAATTCTGAATTGAGTACTTTTCTTTTACGGCTTAAAAGTAGTACCACTTCCTTCTGACCTTCATGGTTTCTGATGAGGAATCTGTAGTTATTCAAATTGCTCTTCCCTTAGAGGCAAGGTGTTGTTTTTTCTCTTACTGCCTTGAAGATATATTCTTTGCTTTTAGCTTTCAGAAGTTTGACTATGTTGTGCCTTAGTGTAGATTTCTTTGAGTTTATTCTACTTGGAGTTTGCTTAGTTTCTTGACTCTATAAGCTTATGTCATTTGCCCAATTGTGAGAATTTTTAGCCATTATCTTTTTTGAATACTTTTTGGTCTGATTTCTCTTTTCTCTTTTTATCATTTAGATGTTCTTTTTAACAGAGAAAAGAAAGAGACCAAAAAAGTACCCCAAAAAAAAAAAATGGGTAAAAATTCTCACAATTGGGCAAATGATATAAGTTTATAGATTTTTAATGATTTTAATTTTTTTTTAAAGAGAGACTGAGAGAAGAGAGGGAGAAAGATAGAGAATTTTAATATTTATTTTTTAGTTTTTGGTGGACACAACATCTTTGTTTGTATGTGGTGCTGAGGATCGAACCCGGTCCGCACGCATGCCAGGCAAGTGCGCTACTGCTTGAGCCACATCCCCAGCCCAATGATTTTAATTTTTAATGATTGTTAAAATCTTTGTTATAGTCTCAGATTCCTCAGGCTCTGTTCATTTTTTTTAATCTATTTTTTCCTTTGGTTCAGGTTGGGTGATTTCTATTATTCTAATTTCAATTTAACTGATTGTTTCCTCTGTTAAATTTCCTCTGTACCCTCTAGACTGAGCCCATTTATTGAGTTAAAATTTTTTTCTTTGATTATTAGATATTTTTGGTTCTGAATTTCCATTTGCCTCTTTTATATGTCTTCTATTTATTTACGAAAATTTTGTATTTTTTTCATTCATTTCAAACTCGTTCCTAATTGTCTGTTGAAACAGTTGGGATTGCTGCTTTAAAGCATCTATTAGATAATTCTAATTTTGTCATTTTGTTATTGACATCGATTGATTACTATTGGCATAATTTGAGTTGATGTTTTTCTAATACTTCGTAAGATTTTTGATGGAGACCTGCACATTTTGGGTATTGTGTAATAAGAGTCTAGATCTTATTTAAACCCTATATTTGAGATGGTCCTTTTGGATACCACTGCAGTAGGTGAAAGGGATGCTGCTTTAGTCTTATTACTTTTAGATGTTGGTTGAAGGCCAGGTGTCTATTTGCCTCTGTTGACACAACCACATTACTGCTAGTTGGGAGCAGAAATTCCAGCTCCCTGGGTCTCTGATGATACCACCTGCTGGGAAAAAGAAGAGTGCCTCATTTCTACTCCCCATATGGACTCCACTGACATCATAGGGGGAGAATTGAGTGGCCTCATTGCTGCTGGACAGTGGTGATGATCTTGACTCTTTTTTAGGTCTCCTCTGGCACTACTCCAGTGAGGAGAGTGAGCAGTGCCTTTACTACTGCCAGATGGGGATAGCAATCTTAGACTTTCCTTCTTAGGTTTCTCTGACACCACCTTGGCAGAGGGCTCGGGGCAGTTCATTACAACCTGGTGAGAGTGAAGGAGTAGGTTCTCCCTCAACCTTTGCTGGCCACATGAGGTCCAGTTTTCTATGATATTTGGCTGGAATAGAGTCTAAATATTTTCTGTCTTGCTGGTCTGCCTCTTTTCTGGTTCTTTGTCTAGCAAAAGCAGATTTTTGGAATATTTGTTTTGTTTGTGCATTTTGGTGTTTCTGGACCGCAGCTTTTTAAACTACAAGTCTAGAATATTTAAGGTAAAAGAAAATCCAGAGTGCTTGCTACTATATCATTCCTGGGTCCGCAGATTCCTAGATAGTCTGCTTTATTTCTCTCCACCTTTCAGAGTCTTCTTGTTTTCATTTTGTATATAATGACAAAGGTGTCTAGTTGTACCATTGTCCCTCAGTATCCATGGAAAATTGATTCCAGGAACCCCCGTGGATACCAAATCTGGATGTTCAAGTTCCTTATATAAAATGATATAGTATTTACATATAACCCATGAACATCCTACTGAATATTAGTATACAGTAATATACCTAATACAATGCAAATAATATATAAACTGTTGTTAAACTATATTGTTTAGGGAATAATGGCAATACAAAGTTTGTACGTTTTCAGTACAGTTTTTTCCCCCTGAATGTTTTCTATCTATGATTGATTATGAAGCCTATAGATACTAAGGGCTGAGTGTAGTTAGATGGAGTAATGAGGAAAAGTACACCTATGTCCTCCTCCTGAAAATTTATATAGCATTTAATGTCATATCTTCTTCCTGCTTAGTGTGCCAACTAGTATTTCTGGAATAGCATTAGATCATAACAGGAAAAACATTTATCTTTCTCTCATTACTTATTCACTGGGAATACTTCTAACATTATCCCCATTAACTATGATGTTCAGTGTTGGGCCATAGTGTGAGACATTAAAATACAGTCAGTATAGTTAAATTCTGTTAAAAAAAATTATTTAGCTGGGTACAGTGGCACATGCCTGTAATCTCAGCAGCTCGGGTGGCTGAGGCAGAAGGATTGCATGTTCAAAGCCAGCCTCAACAAAGTGAGGTGCTGAGCAACTCAGTGAAGCCCTGAGCAACTCAGTGAGGCCCTGTCTCTAAATAAAATACTAAAAAGGGCTGGGGATGTTGCTCAGTGGTTGAGTACCCCTGAGTTCAATACCTGGTACCAAAAATAAATGAACAAATAAATAAAATTATTTAGTACTTACCTTGTACTCTAAAGCTAGGAATATAGCTAGCAGGAAATGATGGCATAATTGTTTCCTCTTATATTAGAAATTATCTTATTTAACTACAAGACCCACTTTTGCATTAGTACTATATTTTCCTTTCTTTTAGTCCACTTTGAACTTTTGGGAGAGTAGGGTGCAAGAGTGAACAATGTTGTTTGAAGTTAGGTAAGGGGAATATGAGGTGTATTAAGTTATATGAAGTTTTAAAGCCTATCTTGGTTAAGACTTAGTGGCAAATAACATAGATCAATTCAAACCAATGTAAGAAATCAGGGAGAACTACCGTCCATTTGTTCAGATACAAGATCATCTAGCAAAAAAAAAAAAAAGAGCATCTATCAAGGTCCATAAATAAGCCATGCTGCAGGGTCTCAGGGCTCAGAAAGCATCAGAACCAGGATATACCAGGACACTTCATACCTGTGTTCTTTTCTTCTCTCCATGTCCCCTGCCTCCACTTCTCCTGGGAAGTCAGGTTCATTCCTTCACCTGCCTCAGAGGTAGCGATGGACACATCCCATCTTCCCGGTTCATGGTCCAGGTGGCAGTAGTTCTCATGCAATGTTGTGATGTTTAATAAGATGTATTCTTGGATAGTTAGTCTTCTTCCAGTTGTTCTGACACATAGCTGCTAAAACCCATGGAAACTCTTTTGTATGCTAATATGATGTTGGGTGGGTGGTTCTGGACATCTAGATAACTTCAGGATAGGGGCTGGTCAAGGAAAGACCAAGGCATGATGAGCAGGATGGGGCTTTCCATCCCTCCCTGTCCAGCCAGCTATTGTATTCACATTGCACAAATATGACTGGTAGCAGTTCATCTTTATATTGGGGTGGGCAAAGCTCCCAAGGTTGGAGTGAATATTTTCCTTACACTACAGGACTATATAGCAATTACAGAAAACTACAGATACTAC